AAAAGGATAAATAAATATACAAGGTATGATGTAGCACGTAATGAAAGTAGTTTGTTAGATTATGTATTGGTGGATAAAAGGTTGATGGGTAGGCTCCAGGATGTACATGTTTTATAGAGGGGCAACTGATATATCAGATCATTATTTAGTTGTAGCTACAGTTAGAGTAAGAGGTAGATGGGAAAAGAGGAAGGTGGCAACAACAAGTAAGAGGGATCTTAAAGTGTATAAACTAAGGGAGGAGGAAGTTCGGGCGAGATATAAGCGACTATTGGCAGAAAGGTGGGCTAGTGCAAAGATGGAGTAGTGGGGGGGGGGGGGGTTGAAGAGGGTTGGAATAGTTTTAAAAATGCGTATTAGAATGTGGGGCAGAGTTTGTGGTTATAGGAGGGTGGGGGCAGGAGGAAAGTGGAGTGATTGGTGGAATGATGAAGTAAAGGGTGTGATAAAAGAGAAAAAGGTAGCTTACGAGAGGTTTTTACAAAGCAGAAGTGTTATAAGAAGAGCAGAGTATATGGAGAGTAAAAGAAAGGTGAAGAGAGTGGTGAGAGAGTGCAAAAGGAGAGCAGATGAAAGAGTGGGAGAGGCACTGTCAAGAAATTTTAATGAAAATAAGAAAAAAATTTGGAGTGAGTTAAACAAGTTAAGAAAGCCTAGGGAAAGTATGGATTTGTGCATTAAAACAGAGTAGGGGAGTTAGTAGATGGGAGAGGGAGGTATTAGGTAGATGGCGAGAATATTTTGAGGAACTTTTAAATGTTGAAGAAGAAAGGGAGGCGGTAATTTCATGCACTGGCCAGGGAGTTATACCATCTTTTAGGAGTGAAGAAGAGCAGAATGTAAGTGTGGTGGAGGTACGTGAGGCATTACGTAGAATGAAAGAGGGTAAAGCAGCTGGAACTGATGGGATCATGACAGAAATGTTAAAAGCAGGGGGGGATATAGTGTTGGAGTGGTTGGTACTTTTGTTTAATAAATGTATGAAAGAGGGGAAGGTACCTAGGGATTGGCGGAGAGCATGTATAGTCCCTTTATATAAAGGGAAAGGGGACAAAAGAGATTGTAAAAATTATAGAGGAATAAGTTTACTGAGTATACCAGGAAAAGTATACGGTAGGGTTATAATTGAAAGAATTAGAGGTAAGACAGAATGTAGAATTGCGGATGAGCAAGGAGGCTTCAGAGTGGGTAGGGGTGTGTAGATCAAGTGTTTACATTGAAGCATATATGTGAACAGTATTTAGATAAAGGTAGGGAAGTTTTTATTGCATTTATGGATTTAGAAAAGGCATATGATAGAGTGGATAGAGGAGCAATGTGGCAGATGTTGCAAGTTTATGGAATAGGTGGTAAGTTACTAAATGCTGTAAAGAGCTTTTATGAGGATAGTGAGGCTCAGGTTAGGGTGTGTAGAAGAGAGGGAGAATACTTCCCGGTAAAAGTAGGTCTTAGACAGGGATGTGTAATGTCACCATGGTTGTTTAATATATTTATAGATGGGGTTGTAAAAGAAGTAAATGCTAGGGTGTTCGGGAGAGGGGTAGGATTAAATTATGGGGAATCAAATTCAAAATGGGAATTGACACAGTTACTTTTTGCTGATAATACTGTGCTTATGGGAGATTCTAAAGAAAAATTGCAAAGGTTAGTGGATGAGTTTGAAATGTGTGTAAAGGTAGAAAGTTGAAAGTGAACATAGAAAAGAGTAAGGTGATGAGGGTATCAAATGATTTAGATAAAAATTGGATATCAAATTGGGGAGGAGGAGTATGGAAGAAGTGAATGTTTTCAGATACTTGGGAGTTGACGTGTCGGCGGATGGATTTATGAAGGATGAGGTTATTCATAGAATTGATGAGGGAAAAAAAGGTGAGTGGTGCGTTGAGGTATATGTGGAGTCAAAAAACGTTATCTATGGAGGCAAAGAAGGGAATGTATGAAAGTATAGTAGTACCAACACTCTTATATGGATGTGAAGCTTGGGTGGTAAATGCAGCAGCGAGGAGACGGTTGGAGGCAGTGGAGATGTCCTGTCTAAGGGCAATGTGTGGTGTAAATATTATGCAGAAAATTCGGAGTGTGGAAATTAGGAGAAGGTGTGGAGTTAATAAAAGCATTAGTCAGAGGGGCAGAAGAGGGGTTGTTGAGGTGGTTTGGTCATTTAGAGAGAATGGATCAAAGTAGAATGACATGGAAAGCATATAAATCTATAGGGGAAGGAAAGAGGGGTAGGGGTCGTCCTCGAAAGGGTTGGAAAGAGGGGGTAAAGGAGGTTTTGTGGGCGAGGGGCTTGGACTTCCAGCAAGCGTGCATGAGCGTGTTAGATAGGAGTGAATGGAGATGAATGATACTTGGGACCTGACGATCTGTATTGGAGTGTGAGCAGGGTATATTTAGTGAAGGGATTCAGGAAAAACGGTTATTTTCATATAGTCGGACTTGAGTCCTGGAAATGGGAAGTACAATGCCTGCACTTTAAAGGAGTGGTTTGGGATATTGGCAGTTTGGAGGGATATGTTGTGTATCTTTATTACGTATATGCTTCTAAACTGTTCGTATTCTGGGCACCTCTGCAAAAGCAGTGATAATGTGTGAGTGTGGTGAAAGTGTTGAATGATGAAAGTATTTTCTTTTGGGGATTTTCTTTCTTTTTTGGGTCACCCTGCCTCGGTGGGAGACACCGACTTGTTGAGAAAAAAAAGTATATATATATATATATATATATTATATATATAATATATATATATATATAAATATATATTATATATATATATATATACACACACACACACACAACCACAAACACACAAAACAAAACTTCCAAAAATCAATAGAAAGTAAAACAACCTAGATAACTAAGAGCTACATCTCGAATACTTCGTCCAGCTTCCCAGTGGTGGGCCGCGTGCCCAGAATGCTGCAGGCATTTCCTCTCTGGATCGCGACACTGAGTCTCTGAAAGAGGAAGCTGGTCGCCCTGTGGTTCTTGGTTTCTATGATGAGTTTTTCACCCGGCTCTTTGAGGAACTTTAGAGCACACTTGCCCCATGCTCCAAGGGTCTCCGACCCTATTGGGATGAAGTTATAGCAAGGGGGAAGGTCTTCATATTTGCGGATATTCTGGGTCTCCCTGTGGCTGGCAGCTCCACTCCCTTCCACTACGGAGTATGGCAAGTAGGTGTCTGCCAATGTGGCGGCACAGGTGTAGCCCCAGGCAATCTGCTTTCCATCCTTCCAGGGTAGCGTAGTGGCTCCATCAGGACGCTTTTGACTTCCGTCAGACCTCTGCACTTGGGGTTCCCGTTGACCTGGGCAACAGGCTGTGGTGAGGCTTCTCTTTATGATGTCATTGACCTCCTCATGTCTGGCATACTTCCCTTTTGTTGTGTGACACACGAGACCTTGAAGCCCGAATTGATCAGCTGTCGCCCTGCCGCAAACACACCTATGTTCGGTGAGGAGGGGGCGGCTAGGCGAAGAGCAACACCAATCCGGATGGCCTGCGAGTCGAGTCGAGTGCCCAGGGAGGAATTGGGAACAGCTAGAAGGAAGTCTCCTGAGTGTTGTGCCTTCACCGCCAGGAGACGAGCTTTGTCCTTTCCTGAAGCGTTGGTGAGCATTGTGTTGGCGATTTTTTCTATGATCGGTTTGTCCCAGTGGGACTGTGTGTTCTTTGGGAGGAGCTGGTCTACTGGAGGAGTCTGTAAGGGTGTCCCACCGCATTGCTGCTTCAGTAAACCTGGGGTCTTGAGCTCCTACCACGTCTCTCAGGCGTTCAGCGACGATCTTGACTAATGCACTGGAAGCCAAACACGAAGACAGAAAAGCAGGTAAAGCTACATGCATTGCTTTGCGCACCCCTATACCTCCCAGTCACACTGGGAGGGTTGCCTGATCCCATTGCTGATCCTCTAGTGACAGGTTCAGGGCCTTCTTAAAGGTTGATCTCAAGTGTGCGTCATATTCGTCGAGTGTTGGGTTGCTAAAGAGGGTGCACACCTCAAGAAGTGAGTCTTTGAATAGTAAGACACTTTGTGAGGAGATACAGAGCATCATGGGCATCAAGATCACTTATTCTCTCCTCCATTCTCATCAGGTCATTCAATTTTTCCTTGAGGACAGTGTCGATGGCCTGGTGACCCAGCGGTGCTCCCAAGAGGATACTGTTGAAGCCTTTTTATCCACTTCTCCGAGGCTATGGGTCCCACAATTAAAAGAAGTGGACCCCATCATACATTTATATATATATATATATATATATATATATATATATATATATATATATATATATATATATATATATATATATATATATATATATATATATGCTATAGGGTTAATTTTTTTTAAGCCTGGTTTAAAAACTAACACCTACACTTATGTCATTAAGACTGCACTTCACTTTTCCACCACCAGACAAGGAAACTTTAATCCCTAAAATGGGGATTAAAGTAAATTCTCAGCATATATACGCAGAGATAAGTACACCTCTCAGTGTGTATAGCTTGTCATGAATATAATATTGTTATAATATCTTGGGTGATTTGTGTGCCCGTCAAGGTTTCGAATTCCCTGTGGTCACTGTCACTGTCACCCGAGTGATCGAGTATCGTGGGACGGAGACTTCTGTCTTTTAACTTAAGTTTTATTATTCTGTTTCCTCCTAACACTAAATGACAATTTATAGCAAAATTAATAATTAAACTTTGGCTTCATTGTTATTATTGTGGTGTAGAGATTTAGCCTGAAGGTCGTAGATACTATATACTCAAGACATTGTTATGAATATTCACTTTAATGAGAGAATGTCTAGTGTTTAACCTAGTTCATGTTTGTGTTTATCTTCAACATATAGTAGCGTATGTTCACACTTTGTTTACTTGTTTATTAAATAGTGCTAATGTTCATACTGTTTACCTAAAGGTACTCAACATAGCTAATGTTTTTTATTCTCGTTGCAGGTGAGGCTTGGATGTAACTGGTGATTCTTGCAGAAAGTAACCGGAGTCTACAGTGGTGGTAAGAACTTGTAACACCTACACAAATGTACTACTGATATACCTAGTGATATAAAACTACACAAAGGTAATAGTGACCATATAAGACCACTTGAGGGTAATGGAGGTACTGTAGTGACTAAGACCACATGAAGGTAATTGAAGTATTTTAGTGACCATATAAGACCACATGTAGGTAATTTAGGTACTGTAGTGCCCATACGAAGGTAATGGAGCTACTGTAGTGACTATATAATTATGACGACACGAAGATAATGGAAGTACTGTAGTGATCATATAAGGCCACGCGAAGGTAATAGTGGCGCGCGCACACTATAGAGACCTTGTAACCATGTTCGTTATGTATTTATTTTTTCTAATTTGTAATCTTGAGAATTCTCCACAGTTTGAGACATTACCTTAGAGTTCTGTTGTTTCTTTATCATTATGGTTGCCAACAACAATAGCCTTGTTGAACAGACAACCAACAGAGCGCCTGGCTCCAGGCCTGGCTGCGAGGGTAGAAAAACTCTGGAAACCGGCCACAGGTGAAGTATAGATCTGCGTGTGTGTTTGCGTGTGCGCACGCTTTCCCACCTGCCTGATTTCTGTTTGTTTTTGTGCTACAGAGTAGGATTCTGCGTGCTGCTTGTAGGTCAGGGAATTCAATGTTGTATACTTTCATGAGGTGTGATCGCTTGAGTGATGATACATGGTTTCCAGTACCATTAGTCTGGATGATTGGTCACCAAAGAAACATGGCCTCTGGCCCGCCTGTAAGAATAAGTAAAGTAGCCACAACCAAGTCTCTGGTAATTACTGCACTGTGTAAAGGAAGTATTTATGTGGTGGTGGGTTATTGCCAGGCAGTAAAGCAGACAGGTAAGTAGGTATGAAAGAGATTAGACAAATAAGCAAGAGTCCATAACGAGGCAGGCAGACAAGCAGGTACATAACTGGCAGACAGACAGTCGAGCAGCCAGTCTTGCAGGATGTGGTACGTGCTGGATGTCAGCACTAAGAGTGTCAGCAGAAGCACTGGTCAGAGAGCAGGGTACGTGCTGGATGTCAGCACCAAGAGTGTCAGTAGAAGCACTGGTCAGAGAACAGGGTACGTGCTGGATGTCAGCACCAAGAGTGTCAGAAGCAGCACTGGTCAGAGAGCAGGGTACGTGCTGGATGTCAGCACCAAGAGTGTCAGCAGAAGTATCATGTGGGGTTCGAATACGTGGATAGGGTAAAGTAATACTCACGTAGGCTGGTAGTACGTATAATTACGGATAATGTGGGGAGCGCCCAAACAGCCGTACCTATCTCCTTGCTCACTCTCGTCAGACTGACTGGCCGCCCACAGTACCCATATGTGAGGGGGTCTTTGAATACTGCTATGGTCAGCACAATATGAATACAGACAGTGACTCAGGCAGAGACGGTTGGTAGTGAGTCATCTACTGGTACACTGGTTACTGGTAACTGGTTACTACTACTGAGAGAAGCACTGGTCAGAGAGCAGGGTACGTGCTGGATGTCAGCACCAAGAGTATCAGCAGAAGCACTGGTCAGAGAGCAGGGTACGTACTGGATGTCAGCACCAAGATTGTCAGCAGAAGCACTGGTCAGAGAGCAGGGTACGTACTGGATGTCAGCACCAAGAGTATCAGAAGCAGCACTGGTCAGAGAGCAGGGTACGTGCTGGATGTCAGCACCAAGAGTGTCAGCAGAAGCACTGGTCAGAGAGCAGGGTACGTGCTGGATGTCAGCACCAAGAGTGTCAGCAGAAGCACTGGTCAGAGAGCAGGGTACGTGCTGGATGTCAGCACCAAGAGTGTCAGAAGCAGCACTGGTCAAAGAGCAGGGTACGTGCTGGATGTCAGCACCAAGATTGTCAGCAGAAGCACTGGTCAGAGAGCAGGGTACTCAAAGTATAACAACATTTGCAAAGTATAAGGTGGTGGATGATCAAACTGTGAGCGAAGCTTGCTACCACTGACCTGGCTAAACCACATTAATGCTTACTCGTGTGTGTTTGTATGGTTGTTTGTGTTCTGGATGTGTGTGCCTAAATTTGCATTTATGTTGTGCTTGTATGTTTGCTAACGTGTTTGCATGTGTGTGCTGCTTGCGTGTGTACCTGTGATTGCATATATACATATGCTTGTATGTGCCTGTTCTTGCGTGTGCGCATGTGCTTGCGTGTGAACATATGCTTGTATATGCCTGTCCCTGTGTATGTACCTGTGTTTGTGTGTGAACCTGTGATTGCTTGTATACTTACGCTTGCATGTGTACCAGTCTTTTCGAATGTCATTTTATTGTGTAAAAGTGCTTGCGTGTATACACGTGTCTTTTGTGTGTGCATGCGTCGGTATTTGCTGGAGAGGAGAGTTGTATGCACACATGCGAGGGTGGGTGCACAAGCGATGACTGTGTGCACGACAATCATTTCATTAATGTGAGGAGGGGGACCTGTTAGCCTGGTGGTTTGTTGTCGCCTGCAACATGTATACTCTTCTCCTGCGTCTCCCCTTACATTCTTCTTCCACTCTAGTGAATACTTCCAGTGTGTTTTGTACTGTCTTCCAGTTTGTATTTCTTCAAATTTTTCATATGGTAGTAACCGAAATTTATCTTCGTCGGAGGTCATATATTTATTGTTGTTGCCCACAGGAAGGTCTGGTTTATATCTGCTTGAAGGCTTGCTGTCCTCGATGGATGCCACTCGTGTACAAACTCCAGCATCTTCTGCGAGGAATGATACAGTGGTGTGGCATGTACTCACCTATTTGTACTTCTTGTTTGTGGTTGCAGGGGTCGAGTCACAGCTCCTGTTGTGTCTGGTATTCAGACATGTAGAGTACTTGGAGGGTGTTGCAGGGGTCAACACCCCCTAGGCCTGGTCCATGACCAGGCCTCGCGGTGGATCAGGGCCAGAAGATATCAGAAACATGGCTGGAACAAGTGTAGAAGTCTCCAAGAGAAAACTGCACAAGTATCTTCACCAGGTGCCAGATCAACCAGGCTGTGATGGATATGTGGGGCAGCGGGCCTCCAACAGTAACAGCCTGATTGACCTAGCAAGCACCAGACGAGTCTTGCCTATGACCGGGCTCCGAGAGTAGTAAGACGCTCGAAACTCATCAAAGGTAAAGGTATATCCGATCAACCAGGCTGTTACTTCTGACCGCACGTAAACGAACGTACGAACCACATCCCGGCTGGTCAGGTACTAACTTTCGGTGCTATTACTTTTAGTGGCAGACTTATTAGAAAATTACAGATCTATCTGCCCTCTTTTTCCAGTTATTCCTGTAGTACGCATGTTGTGTATTATTACACCGTGATCACACTTTTGTAAAGTCTTGACTTCAGAATGTTATTTGTTACCGTGTATCTGTGCCTGGGAATATTCGCCGTCATCATTCCTGACATTTAGTTCAGTTCGTGTAATTACCGTTATGAGACGGAGAAAGTACAGTTGACCTTTGAATAACTCGGGAGTTACGGGCACCGACACTTCCCCCGCGTAATCGAAAATCCGCGTATAACTTTTGACTCCTCAGAGACTTAACGAATAATGGCCTGGTGTTGACCGGAAGCCTTACCGATAATATAACCATTTGATCAACACACATTTTGTATGTTATATGTATTATATATTGTATTCTTATAATAAAGTAAGCTAGAGAACAAAATAAATGTTATTGAGAAAATCATAAGAAAGAGAAAACATTTACAATACTGTATCCTCTGGTGTAAATTGTGGGACCCATAGCCTCGGAGAAGTGGATAAAAAGGCTTCAAGGAGGAATATTTGGATTTCTTATCGATACCGTAAGTTTACGTTGTCTGTTTACAAGATGAATCGTCTGTCTGTCAGTACCTACATCAATATTGTCTTATATGATACAAAAAACTCTGTAGATGTTATAAGAATTACTAACACTAGACATCAAAAATGAAAAGATAATGTGAAAAAGAAATTAATATTTATTTATGTTTAAATATTGCATTTTTACGTCTGTTTACATTTCTCTCGACTGCGAATGGAACATGTACGATCTGTGATAACAACATCAACGTCATTGTTATAGTTATGATAATAACTTTGATGTCATAATGTTGTTGTTCATCTTGGTAGAGTGAAACACAGCAGTATCAAGGTCATTATTACAGTTGTTGTTCATCTTGGTAGAGTGAAACACAACAGTATCAAAGGTCATTATTACGTTGTTGTTCATCTTGGTAGAGTGAAACACAGCAGTATCAAGGTCATTATTACAGTTGTTGTTCATCTGGTAGAGTGAAACACAGCAGTATCAAGGTCATTATTACAGTTGTTCATCTTGGTAGAGTGAAACACAGCAGTATCAAGGTCATTATTACAGTTGTTGTTCATCTTGGTAGAGTGAAACACAGCAGTATCAAGGTCATTATTACAGTTGTTGTTCATCTTGGTAGAGTGAAACACAGCAGTATCAAGGTCATTATTACAGTTGTTGTTCATCTTGGTAGCGTGAAACAGCAGTATCAAGGTCATTATTACAGTTGTTGTTCATCTTGGTAGAGTGAAACACAGCAGTATCAAGGTCATTATTACAGTTCATCTTGGTAGAGTGAAACACAGCAGTATCAAGGTCATTATTACAGTTGTTGTTCATCTTGGTAGAGTGAAACACAGCAGTATCAAGGTCATTATTACAGTTGTTGTTCATCTTGGTAGAGTGAAACACAGCAGTATCAAGGTCATTATTACAGTTGTTGTTTATCTTGGTAGAGTGAAACACAACAGCATCAGTGTCTTTGTTAATATCAGTCTATATTTAAATTAAAATAAAAGTAAATGTGTTAAATATGTTGTTATGTTTATTACTTCAATATTGTAAGAAAACTTTACCTTCAGAGAACATTACATCCTCGCTTACATTATAGTAACAGCTTGAAGCTTTCCGCCACGAAAATTTGTCAGGAACTGCAACATTCACTGAATTATCCATGAAGTAAAAAAGTGGGTAGAGAAGAAGG